AGGGTAAGCTCAACAGCACCGTTGACAACGTGGTCAACGGCCTCTACACCCAACATGAAGGAGTGGTCCTGGTTACCGACCTCGTAGCGCCATGAGCCGAAGCGGCCACGAGACAGGATGTCCTTGGCCTGGAGGGCAGGGAGAAGCTTGGTGAGGACGCCCTCACGCTCGAGGGATGGGGTGGGGTATCCATGGTCGAAGCGGCGGTGGTAGGTGGAGACGATCTCGTCATCCGACTTGATCATCTCGGTGTTGATGAGACCCTGAATGCAGTCCTTGAGCATGTTCTTCTCATCGACGGGCTTCATGCTGGACTCGGAGACCTCCAACATAATGGACCAGTATGGGCCCTCCTTGGGCTCAGTGGAGCTGGGCTTGGAGCCATCTGCCATCTGCTGAGTGGCGAGCTTGACGTCCTTCTGGGGCTGGTTGTATGGCGAGTAGTTGGAGAAGATGGTGGCGCGGTAGAATGGGCAGTCATCCTCGGGGAAGTACAGCCAGCACTTGTCGCCAATGCGCTCTGGTCGCTCGCCGCGGAGACCAACACCGATGACGTGGGTGGTGGAGTAGAAGAGACCCTTGCTGAGGTCGATGAGCTCCTTGTCGCCCATGAACTCGACGAGCTGATCGACAGCCATGGTGTTGACGAGCTTCTTGTAGTTGACAACTGTGCCGTCGTTCAGGTGTACCTTGTGGCCATCGGCATCAACCTTGTTGACCTTGCCGTGGTCACCGTATCTTGTCTTGGAGTCTGGCAGTGTCTTTGCAACAGCCTTCCAGATACCACCGGTACCGTCTCGCGCGGGGAAGCGGAAGGTGGCGTTGGGGCCCCAGTTTCCTGCGGTCTTGTTGTGGATGATGTTGTTGATGACACCCTTGACGTTGGGGGCGGCGACACGCTCGCCGAGCCATTGGCACTGCATCTTGGTGGTGGGCACAGCCCAGACCTTGAAGTTGTATGGTCGCATGAAGAGGTCAGCGATGCCGACACCCATCTGGCGCATGATCCACTCGTCAAAGTCCTTGGGCTTGGTGTTGGCCACGCGGGCCTCGAGTGCGGCGTCAATCAAGCCGTCGACACACTTGGCCTGATCGTCCTTGTCCAAGATGGACAGGTTGTTCTGGAATGGGTAGGGGACCCAGTTGCGCTTGCAGCGGACGTACGACACACGCTCGTGGGTGAACCAGTCGTCATCGTTGGGGAGGGCCTCGTCGATGCAGTCGTCGAAGTACTTGTAGTGGGAGAAGATGACATGGCCACCAACGTCGTAGAGCTGGGGAGGTGTTAGAGGCGGGCAGTCAATTGGCGGTGGGGATACTCACGAAGCCCTCTGGAGTGACGTCGGTCGAAGCCAGACCACCGGGCGTCTCGTTGGAGTCGACAATCATCCATGAGGGGCCATCCTGTTGTTGTTAGCATGTGCCCCGCCACTTGGACTCTGTGTTGAGCATACAATCTGGTGGAGGCGCTTTGCTGCTCCCAGACCGGTCGGGCCAGCACCGATAACGAGCACGTCGACCGAACTATGGCATTGTCAGCTCGTGCTCAGCAGGATGCCGTGTGGGTGGGCAGGCGGTGAACATACATTTCTTCCTTGGCGGATCCCATCTTGCCCTGTAGTATTTCCTGGAAACTCGGAACGCGCTTCAAAGTCTGGCGGGCGTAGTTGAGCATGTACTCTGCGGGCGAGCAGCACTTGTAGTTATAGAGAGGGTGTGGAGCAGAGGCCAGACGTTTGGGGCGTGGTGAGGAATATAGCTGGCGATAAACTAAGGACGCCAAGGCGATGCTGCGTTAAGTGGGTCCAGGGTAACAGAGGGCCAGCCGCCGAAGGAGTCGGCTGGGGAGAGCTTGGGGGCTTCAGACGGCCGCGCTGCAACGGCGAGAAAAGGGGCAGGCCGCCATGGGGACCGGCGATCGGGGTCGACACAGCTGCTCGTGGGCGCCTTGATTGGTGCCGGCCGTCTGCTTCACCACTCGAGCGTGCAACATGTTCATTGCCCGTGGCCTCGAGTTGCGTGTGTCACCATGGCCTCTGCACGTTCCCGCGGGTGGAGCCTCAATCTGGCGGGCTGCAGCACATGGTGAAGCTTGACCGACTCTATCTCTGGGGGACTACAGCCTCAGATCAACGACGCATCGACTTGGTGTCGTGCTAGTGCCACGGTGCAACGACGCCTGTGTGCGAAGTACTCTGCATACCCCTAACGGTGCGCCTCACCCTGCGCTCCAGCGACGCGGCACAGCTCCTGCAATGTAAACCGCTGCGCGTGGCAGCAGCGAGAGTGCGCGATGTGCATGAAGCTGTCACTTTTCTACATATATGTGGGACCGGTGTCTTCGGCGCCTCTCTGCAGGGTGCCAGTACGCGTACACACCTACACAAGCAAGTGCAAGAGGCGGCTCAAAATTTCGGCGCCATTGATGGGAGCGCTCGCCGCTGTGGTCGATTGCGCGTCCACTCAGGGCTCCACGGGCGATCAGTTTCACCTCATCGAGCACTTGCAAAATCCCGCGCGGCTCCTGGCAAATCTTCATCTGGCCTCATATCAGCTCTAGTACATAGTCGGCCGTTGCCCAGTGATAGCACGCCTAAACCAGAACCCCCCCTGTGCACCGGCTCTAGAAGTCGTCTGGCTGATTCCCGCTCCGCCCCTCCCCTTCCCTAGCGCAGTCGAGGTATTAGTACCGTCACATTTACTGTACAAGTGCTCTCAACACTTCTCGTCGCTCTTTATCTCCTCATTGCTCCAGCGCTGTTACAGCTGCTTCGTGTTGCTTGTGCCACGCTTGTCCCTTGACGCGCAACACCCGCCATCAGTCAGCAGCGCTAGCCCACTGCTACTGCAACCTTGCAACTTGCATTCCCAGCGCCGCAACCACCTCCTTTGACCTTCACTCAACACCTTTACCGTCCCTCGTTAGCCACCACCCGCAAATATGTCCGACGAGAAGATGAGATCCTCGGTCGAGGCCTCGCGCGACACAGCCCTGCCTGTGCTGCCGACCGTCAACCCAGATGCGCAGAAGCCAGCCCCCGAGGCGCCATCTTTCCATCCTGCAGTATACATTGCAACATGGATCTCGCTCAGTTCCAGCACAATTGTCTTCAACAAGTACATCTTAGACACAGCCAAGTTCCGTACGTTCACTCTGCTCCGCCGCACCTCCGCATTCTAACACACCGGCAGACTACCCCATCTTCCTCACAACATGGCATTTGGTTTTCGCGACCGTCATGACCCAGATCCTCGCCCGCTTCACCACCGTCCTCGACTCCCGGAAAAAGGTGCCCATGACCGGACGCGTATACCTGCGAGCCATCGTCCCCATCGGTATCTTCTTCAGTATGAGCTTGATCTGCGGTAACCAGGCATATCTGTACCTGAGTGTGGCCTTCATCCAGATGCTGAAGGTATGTTCTCCACGAATTTGGACCTGTAGCAGCTACTGACCTCAGCAGGCTACTATGCCCGTCGCTGTCCTCATCACCACCTGGAGTCTCGGAGTTGCGCCTGTCAACCTTAAGACTCTCGGAAACGTCTCCTTCATCGTCATCGGTGTAGTCATTGCCTCGTTGGGAGAGATCAAGTTCGTCATGGTCGGTTTCCTCTTCCAGGCTGCTGGTATCGTCTTCGAGGCTGTCCGTCTGGTCATGGTTCAGCGCCTTCTCAGCGGTGCCGACTTCAAGATGGACCCGCTCGTCTCCCTCTACTACTACGCCCCTGCTTGCGCCTTCATCAACGGTGTCATTCTCATGTTCACTGAGCTCCCCAAGATGTCTATGGCTGACATCGACCGCGTTGGTCTGACCACTCTGCTGGCCAACGCATCCGTCGCTTTCTTGCTCAACGTCTCCGTCGTTTTCCTGGTACGTTCCTTCTACACACCCCACAAACATTCACTAACACATCTTCAGATTGGCAAGACCTCCTCGCTCGTCCTTACCCTCTCCGGCGTACTCAAGGACATCCTTCTCGTCTTTGCGTCCATGTTCCTTTTCAAGGACCCCGTCTCTCCCCTCCAGGCTTTCGGTTACGCCATCGCGCTTGGCGGTCTCGTCTACTACAAGCTCGGCGGAGAGAAGCTGAAGGAGTACCTCGGTCAGGGCAGCATGAAGTGGCAAGAGTTTGGCCACACCCGCCCCGTCCTTCGCAAGTTGATGGTCTTCGCCGCGGTCATCATTGGCATGTTCCTCGTCCTTGGCTCTCTCGGACCCCGCTATGCCCCCGACTCGACCAACCAGGTCTACAACGGCATCGGCAAGCTCATTGGCGACAAGGCTGTATGAAGAACTGGTTCCTTCTAAGATCGGTCTTGGCCATTTTCTAGCTGGGAGTAGGCCTACTTGCAGTACGCTGGTCTACCTCGATTTCCCTTCCCCCTTGTCGTTTTATCTGTAGCTTGGAGCGGGCTTGGAGTGTACGGTGACCGGTGTTTATACGCATAGACGAGCAGGAGCTTTCATGCCGACGGAGCCTTCTTTGATGCTTTTTGTGGTTCGGTACGCGACTGGTGTCAATCGCATGTCAGGGAGCAATGACAGGAAATGATTAAGTAACACGTTTTTGGCACATAGATCTTGCAGGCATTCACAGAATTGCGAGCGAAAGTATATACTTGTAGCTATATAATTGGTAATGCCGTGGAGCATCCGATGCATTTCTTCTACAATACTCGTGATGTATTTGAAGACGGATAACATGAGCAAACAACAATGAAGCAGATATGAATACTAGATTGAGATTAAATGTAGATTTACTGATAGATGTGGATAACAATTATCGATTGTGAAGTTCTCTGTAGTTGCGCCGTGATGCATGCGCGGTCGCTCCTGCCGAGTTCTGGAGTTCTCGCTTCGCACGGGCCACACCACGCCAAGCTGCCCTTTCCTGCCAAATTCGAATCGCGAACTTCAGCTTCCTCCCTCAGTCGTTACTAACCCACAGCACAACACGCTCAAAATCAGTCAAGATGGGAATCGACCTCGACCGCCACCATGTTCGAGACGGGCACCGCAGTATGTGATCCCCCGTCGAGTCGGCGCAGCAATGCGCTGGCGACAGCTGTCTTTTAGACGCAACATGAAGCCTTCGAAGGAGAGAGATTGACGAGTATACAGAGGTCCCTAAGTCCACCAACCCCTACGTCAGGCTGTTGGTGCGCCTTTACAAGTTCCTGGCTCGTAAGTACTTCACCGGACAAATGCGCACATTGTTTGTGCTAACAGCGGACAGGCCGTACCGATGCCAACTTCAACAAGACCGTTCTGCGACGCCTCATGATGTCGAAGACCAACCGCCCCGTAAGACGACCGATCGCAAGCACAGGAGAACAACGTTGCTAACACAGCACAGCCGGTCTCCGTTTCCAAGATCGTCGCGAACGCCGCCAACAAGCACTCCGCCAAGGAGCACGCCGGCAAGACCGTCGTCGTTGTACGTAAAGCGATACTACAGCGAAAATAAATGGCTAACATACCGTCAGATCGGCACCGTCACTGACGACAACCGCATGCTCGAGGTCCCCAAGCTCTCTGTTGCGGCTCTCCGCTTCACCGCCTCTGCCCGCGCCCGCATCGAGAAGGCCGGTGGTGAGTGCCTCACCATCGACGAGGTCGCTACCCGCTTCCCCACTGGATCCAACACCCTCCTCCTCCGTGGACCCAAGAACGCCCGTGAGGCCTTCAAGCATTTCGGCTTCGGTCCCCACTCCCACAAGAAGCCTTACGTCGAGAGCAAGGGCCGCAAGTTCGAGCGTGCCCGTGGACGCAGAAGGTCGCGTGGTTTCAAGGTTTAAGCGTGTGCTTACAGCACTCTTGGTTTCTCTGGGTTGGCGTGGTCATGGTCATGGGAATTCTTACGAGGCGCGCTTCATGACTGGCAAAGGCTCTTCGAAAGCCTGCAAAAAGATACTCAATGCTCAACATGAAATGAAAGCATACACATGGGCTCTCCCGAGCTCATGGTTAAATCATGAACAACCATCTTCTATGAACATGCATGTCGTCACTATTCAACTGTCGGTATGAGCATCCGTGAATCTCACATGCAGGATAATTTGCCCGCAATAGGTAATACTGTATAGCGATGTTGAACGACGAAGTTTTTCGCGTGCTAAATTTTCTGCGGCTCCCCCACATTCAGCCAACCAGCGCTAGCCAATCTAAACCACCCGACGTAATACCCCGACTAGTCACTGCATCACTTGAATGACTTGACATTGACAACAACTCTGGCAAAATGGTCGACAGTCGAAAAGTAGGAGTGCTAGGCGGCGGCCAACTGGGCCGTATGCTAATCGAGGCTGCCAACCGATTGAACGTTCAAGTCAATGTCCTGGATGTCGGGGCATCACCAGCAAAGCAGATATCAGCGCACGACGGCCATATCGAGGGATCTTTCAAGGATGCAGCGGCTGTAAAGAAACTCGCAGAATCATCCGATGTCGTCACTGTCGAGATCGAACATGTCGATACCCATATGCTCGAAGAGGTAGCGGGGCAGGTCGTTGTTGAACCCAGCTGGAAAACACTCCGGACCATCAAAGACAAATACGCCCAAAAGCAGTACCTGAAAGAGCATGGAGTGGATGTCGCAGATAGCATCGATCTCGAAGGGAAGGGTGTTGCGGGGTTGAAGGAAGTAGGTTCGTCATATGGCTACCCGTTCATGCTCAAGAGCAAGACAGAGGCGTATGACGGCAAGGGCAACTTTGTGGTGAAGACAGAGGCGGATGTTGATGCAGCATTCGAGGCTTTGGGAAAGAGGCCGCTGTATGCAGAGCGCTGGGCGGACTTCAGGATGGAGCTCGCAGTCATGGTTGTCAAGACAAAGGACGGCGTACTCACATTCCCCACTGTTGAGACTGTCCACGAGGACAGTATCTGCAAGCTCACATACGCGCCGCCCAGGAACGTAGCAGAGGAGACCACACAACGAGCCCAGGAACTCGCAAAGAAAGCTATCGGCGCTTTCGAAGGCAAGGGTGTCTTCGGTGTTGAGATGTTCCTGCTCAAGGACGACAGCTTACTCATCAACGAGATCGCGCCTCGTCCGCATAACTCGGGACATTACACCATCGAAGCCTGCCCCATCTCACAATACGATGCGCATCTCAGGGCTATCCTCGACCTACCCATCTCCCAGTCTAGCCTCCGCCTCCGCGAACCCTCCATTATGCTGAACATCCTTGGCGGCAAGACGCCAGACTCCCACGTCCAAGTCGCGAAGAGGGCTCTTGAGTCACCAAACGCATCAATCCACCTCTACGGTAAAGGTGATGCGCGTCCCGGCCGCAAGATGGGCCACATCACCATCACAGCCCCCACCCTCGCAGCCGCCGAACGTGAGATCCAGCCCCTCGTCGACTTTGTCGACGCCCAAAAGGGCAAGACCGTCGAATCACGCAGCTCACAGAGCTCCAAAGATGAGCCTCTCGTCGCCGTGATCATGGGCTCAGACTCCGATCTCCCCGTCCTCCGCGCCGGTCTCGAGATCCTGACTAAACTACAAATCCCCTTCACCACGCGCATCACCAGCGCCCACCGCACCCCCGACTGGCTCCGCGAGTTCTCCAAGACCGCTTCTCAGACGTCGCTAAAAGTCATCATCGGCGCTGCGGGTGGGGCCGCTCATCTTCCCGGCATGTGTGCGTCGTGGACCACACTCCCAGTCATCGGTCTGCCTGTCAAGGCGAGTGTGATGGATGGCTGGGACAGTCTTGTCAGTATGACTCAGATGCCGCGCGGCGAGCCTGTTGCTACTGTTGGTATCAACAACTCGACGAATGCTGCGCTGCTTGCTGTGCGCATCCTTGGTGCGGAGGACAAGACGATTCGCGAGAGGCTGAGGGTTTGGATGGAGGGGAATGAGAAGGAGGTTATGCGGAAGGATAAGGCACTTTTGGAGGACGGGTGGGAGGCTTATCTTAAGGGTATGGGCAAATAGACGATGATGGGAAGGTGGTGGGCTGAGGGACTGAGGAAGCATATGCTGTGTTTGTGGACACTGGCTGGTGAGATATGCAGGGAGTAGAATTCCTCTTTCTGGTCGAGGAAATGTCATTTCCCTCTACCAATGTCTTGAATGCAATGAACATGCGATGTTACGGAAGTTGTTTCACATCGAAGCTCATTACGATGACGATCACCATCATCACACTTCATTCCAAGCTCAACAACGACCGCCTCTCGACCAAAACATGAGAGCATCCCTGACTCGTTTTGGTATCATGCGCTCCCAGCTGGCCCTGTCGTAAGAACATGACCAGTTCCAATATGCTCTCCTCACACGAAGACATTTCCTCATCCGCTGTGCCATTTGAACACATCAGAAACATCTGCATGTCTTTTGGAACACACCGCGAGCCCACAGCCATGTTGAGAACAGAACGCCATTTTTGTAGAATGGCTTTGGAATGTGCGGATAAGAGAAGAAGGAAGAGCAACAAGCGCAGATTTTATAGCTGAGGCGAGGAGAGTGGCAGCACATCGATTTGCGGATCCATTCTTTTAGACAGCTTCTCTTCCTCTCTACATGACAGTTCTGTCCCCCCTGTTTTGAGTATAGCTCTTCGAAGAGCAGAGTCGAGAGGAGAACGACATGACATAAAGCGGAACTGCTTTCAAAGCACAAAGCTTCAGTATCTTGCATGTTTAGACATGATATGTCCCCCAGGTGTTTTTGGAAGCACGATAGAATACATGAACATCCTGTAGGTATTCAAGGTGCGAAAGGGCGAGGAGAAGAGAAGACCCATCAAACCTCATATGTATGTTTTTGGAGAAGAAAGAGAGAACTGTAATGTGTAGGAAGAGAGAAGGAAAAAGGCAGAGAGGCAGCTTTATATGCGTCCAGAGTCGTCCGGAGGGTGCACTCATCGCGAGGAACCGACATGTTTTGAACAAGGAAGCACAATCTTTCCATGTTCTGCTGCTTCAGCACTTTTTGAATACCGCCGCATACGTTTAAAATCGGTACATGAGGTTTCTCATTCCGTGGCTAGAGAAGCGGGGAGACGACAAGCGCATGTGTACTCCTTGGGTATTTTTGAGAAAGACAGAAGACTTAGACATGGGTCCTCTTCATGCGGGTTTTGGAAAATTGCATGCAAGTTCGATATGATAGAAGGAAGGCAGAGGTGGCAGACTACAGATATTTATATACATCTCTTTCTATGCGGACGGAGACATGTCGTACTTTAGTAGGCTTTTTATGTCGCGTTTTTTGCTCCCATTCGTCAACATCTCCATCATCAGTCGTCGTCGTCAATTCTTTGGATATTTTATAGCATCAAGTTTACGGCAAAACGCGCCATGTTTTGTATCGAGTAGACTTTTCATTTCGTGAGGCTTGGAAGGAGAGATTCTCAAAGACCGATGAACACTACGGTTTTTGTGACACAGTCACATGTAACGATATATTGGCCGTTTTGGAAATAGGCGATAAAGGAAGACAAGACACTTGCATAAGTTGGTGAATACGTCTTTTTGGACAGATTTTGAAGGAAGGTAGTGTGTAAGAACCAAGACAAAGCGGAGAAGTGGGAGTTTTATACTTCCAGTGAAAACAGTGCATAAACGTTTGTGGAGCGCGAGTCTCGCTTTTATATCCCTCATCGATTCTTAGCATCGGATCTCCGAAGACTTTCTAGTGAGACCTATGAAGAGCGACTTGCGAGCTTCAAAAACATCAATATTAAGTGACTAGGTATTGAACCTTCGAGTACTCAAGGGTCAGTGTAGATGGAGACAGCCCTCCAGAGCATTTCACCCTCCTCTTAACAACCACACTATGTCGAGATCATAATTCCCGCTGTATGCCTCAATGATTGCTTCAGTCCGAAATCGCCAGTTCAGTCCGAAGATCTGTTCCTCTGCAGGTCCGCGCAAGCATGTCCGCACGATCTCGAGTCGCTTCAAGCCAAGGAGCCCACTGAACCAAGCCCTTTTGCCGCCTGAGAGGGCATTTATCAAAGGGTCCATTTCATAATCGCGTAATTGAATTGTTCGAACTGCCAGCATTTGTGCGGATGTGCGAAACATATACGCTTTGGGATTCACCTTTGCGTCGCTCAACACAAAGGTGTTGAGTTGGTACGCCAAGGTAGCTGTTTCGTTGTAGATCTGGCGACAGGTCTCGGGGAGGTGGAGAGCTGATTTGAGTGGCCTGTAACTTACTCGGTATTCGGGATCTGCGTATGTGTATGCCCATCCATGTGATCCAGGAAATTCGGGCGAGGAGTTGACGCGCAAGTGGAGGGCGATATAGGGATAGCTTAATGTGTACTGTAGGCATGAAGAGGCGATGTCAGCGTATATCACAAACAAATGTCGTGCATCCAGGTCTTACCTCCCATATCTGGTTCCGGAGTTCGCCGGGGAGTTGTAAAAGGCGAGAGGTTGTCGCATTGCGAGCCGCACTATTTGCGTCAGTAATGTGGCAAAGCTTAGACGGGAGAGATACCGACATTGCGGTGATGTGTTCAGACATGTGAGATACGTCCAAGAGCCCATTTGGTAAGATCACTGCCACGTTGCTGTTGTTTTGCTGCTGCGACATTGACGCAGAATTATCGGGTTCTGGAGTATGTTTCATGTTGAAGCGTTGGAGCGCGATAGAGGTTGATTGCAGTTATGTCGATAGAGCTATGTGATAGAGTGGATAGGCTGAGCAGCGGTACACAAAACTTGATCTGGTACGAGGGCGCTTATTTCGCCTGCCTGTGTTGTCTGTGCGCTATCGGTGCTTGAGGTGACTGTTTTTCTTTCATTGAAATGCTCCAGTAGTGACTCTTGC